TGCAGGGGGTGGGTGGCTTGGGGTGGTCTAGGGCTTTAGGGGGTGGGTGGCCTGACTGCATGGTTGTGGGGTGGTTGGCTTTGGGTGGGTAGCTTGGGGTGGTCTAGGGGTGCAGGGGGTGGGTGGCTTGGGGGTGGTCTAGGGCTTTAGGGGGTAGGTGGCCTGACTGCATGGCTTGGGGTGGTCTAGGGCTTTAGGGGTGCAGGGGTGGGTGGCTTGGGGGTGGTCTAGGGCTTTAGGGGGTGGTGGCCTGACTGCATGGCTTGGGGTGGTCTAGGGCTTTAGGGGTGGGTAGCTTGGGGTGGTCTAGGGCTTTAGGGGGTGGTAGCTTGGGGGTGGTCTAGAGGTGCAGGGGGTGGGTGGCTTGGGGGGTGGTCTAGGGCTTTAGGGCAAGGAAAGAAGCATGTTCCTTAGCAGTGGAGAGGGTTTGTGGTGGTTTTTGTATGGGTAAGGGAACCTATGCGATGGAAGAAAGGGGATGTGGAAAGTATAATGGGGTTAGCACTCTGTGGGGCATAGCAAGGCTCTGCGTGTGGATGGTTGCCTGACACATGGGTCTGGTTCGCTTAGTGGGTTTATGTGTGGGGGTCTTTATAGGCTCTGGAATCCCTTTCTTGGGCTAGAAGGGTTTGCGAGGTACAGTTACTTTGCTCTCTCTGGACCGTGTGAGGAAAGCTCTGTGTGGGGCTGGGTTGTGGGAGACTATGGCATTTATGGCTCTTCAGCCAACTCACTTGGCTCCAGTTTTATCCCCAAAACAGCTCTGAAGCAAGTTAGACTGGGAGATTGTCATGACCACCCACTGAGCTACATGGCTGCGTGGGGATTTGAACTCGGGTCTCCCCAGCCCTAGTCTTCACACTGTACAGCCACTACACCACAATTGCAGCAAAGGCCTTTCCTTGAGGACATGAGTGGGCCGTGGTAGTAGAGAGGGTTATTTGTTGCCCTAGAGGTGTGAAAGAAGGATCAATGTGCAAGCCCTAGGATAGTGGAGTGGGCCAGCACTCTGTGGGTGTGAGACATTATTAGGATTGGGCTGTGGGGATTAGAGGCCTCTTGAATGGATTGTGCTGCTTTCTGAATTGGCTCAAGGAGCATGGGCGTTGGGGGGGGGGAGAAAAAGCACGTTGAATAACTTTAGGGTCTGTCAGCTCTGTGGTGCTGGGGTGCAGGAAGCTGAGGACCTGTGGAGTGGTCTATGGCTGCATTACTGTGTATAATTTAAAGAGGGACTTGTTGCTGTATGAAAGAAGAGCAAGAAAGCTCTTTGGAGCAAGAAAGCCGTTTGGGCCTAGGGAAATAGTTGAAGCCTGCTCATGACTTGGGCTTGGCCGTGTAGGGTGTGTTTGCCTCTGCATGTGTTATTAGAGCTGTATGTGAGAAGGACCGCATGTGCAGTGTGTGTACGTTTGGGTGCATGTGCTGCAAGATGAGGATGTACTGAGAGGCCCACTGATTAGAAGTGTTTGGGTCACATATATGTAATGTGGAAATGCTTCAGGGTGGATTGAAGGAAAAAGAGCTCAGCTTTCTATTTTTGTACATAGGGCAATACCTGGGGAAGGTGTTATTTGGGGGTGGCTTAGGAAGCAGCAGCTTATCTAAGGGGAACATAATATATGTGGATGAGGAAGAAGAGGTGTTGTGAAGTCCAGTATTGAAAGCTGAGGGTAGTGGAGGTCTCATTTTATGGATAATAATAATAATCTGTGGGCGGCTTCCACAGAGACCAAAAATACACTAAAATGTAACACATTAAAAACTTCCCTGAACAGGGCTGCCTTAAGATGTCTTCTGAATGTCAGGTAGTTGTTTTTCTCTTTGACATCTGTTGGGAGGGCGTTCCACAGGGCGGGCACCACTACTGAGAAGGCCCTCTGCCTGGTTCCCTGTAGCTTTGCTTCTCGCAATGAGGGAACCGCCAGAAGGCCCTCGGTGCTGGACCTCAGCGTCCGGGCAGAACGATGGGGGGTGGAGACACTCCTTCAGGTATACTGGGCCGAGGCCGTTTAGACTCAGGTATACTGGGCCGTGGCCGAATAGACTCAATTTGTGGGAACTTTGTTTTACAATTTACTCTAGTGCCTTTCTGTGGCATATACACCAGAGGGAGCTATGCCCCCTTTTACATATGAATTGAAGGAAGCAGATGATTGAAGACTGCATAGGGATGAAAGGAGGGATGGATTTATATGTTATGGGAAGCAGGAACTGGTATCTCCAAGTATTGATAGGGTTTAGGAAGAGCCAATGTTAGGCTTGGATTGAGGAGAAGGGTCAAATTTCTGCTTGACTATGCTTGATCACATAATAGAGTGATCTTGGTTAATCATAAATTGGCATAATATTGGCCTAACTGCCATGACCCCACAATATTTCCAGTGTGTGTTTTAGTCTTTTTTGCCTCACCGAGACCCTAAAGGGTAAAAATAAAACCAAATAGCTCCTTAATTTTATTATCTTTTTAAAATCCTTCAATAGAGTTATCAGGGTAACTAACAAAAACACACTAAGAACAGCAAAATTCACAAGAACAGCACTCAAAATTCAGAGTAGATAGGACCAGTAAAATTAGTTTAAAAGCCTGGAATAATAAAGTATTTGATGGTCCCAAAATAATTTCAGAATAGGTGAAAGGCAAGCCTTTCCACAAATGGCCTGCCACAAGAAGGGCACAGTTGCTGCTTGCAGAAGAAAGGGCATCATGTCATCCTATCATATCAGCAAATGTAATGATATTTTGACAGTGATGGGTCCATGTATAAGGGATGAGAACGGTGGATAGGAGGAAGAGGAGCATCAGGGTGTTTCTGTCTTGTCTTTTTCTAAGGCTAAAGTAATATAAAGTACAGTTATGTAAAAACAGTATGCCATCCTTGAAGATGCACAGAGTTGGTGGACAGATTCTGGAGAAGAGGAAGATGGATGGAGCAAAATAGGATGCCTGTGTTTAGGAAGAAGGGGTTGAATTATGTTACAACCCACACTGCAGCATGACAGTACTAGTGCAGTCTACTGCTAACGCTAAAAGGTCAGTTGCATTACATGCAGTGTTGCAGCTGGACCATTATGGTGCAGGTTGTATATAGCTTTCACTATATCTCTGCTCAGCCATAAATTCCTCTCGGTGTCTACCATCATGCAGTATTATTGAAATAGGAACAAATTTCTTTTTGATTTGCTTCATAAAACTTCCTCTTCTGTTTGTGGAACGAAAGTCCTAACAGTCCAAGTTTACCAATGGGAACCAAGATACAGGCAGATGAGTCTGCTACTGTAGTTGAGGTTTTCCCCAGCATTGGACACTTACCAGGCTATCAAGAAGTTATTTATATGTGCTACACTCCAATTCTTTCTGTGTGATTTTAATTTTTAAGATAGGATGCTTTCTGGTTATTGTTTTGAAGTATGGCAAAGGACATTATATAGCCCATTTCAGCGTTGTGTTTGAACTTCATTGGGTGTATGTGTTTTACTGGGATGTTTATTAAGAAGCAAGATAAGCAGCAGCACATGTGGGTGTACCTGTGATCAAGGTGTTTTTTAAGGATGGGAACAGGTGATGGCTTTGCCAGCAGCTGCATTTTATTATTTGCTCCAGTTTCCCTTGAGTCTTGCAATTTGGACCCTGACATCTCAGAAGAGAGCTGGCAAGGATTTGCCAGTATACTTTCCCTAAACATTAATATAGCAAAAGGACTAGACTGAGGAGTATTTTGTTATGCTCTGACTTGAATACAAAAAAAATACATAAATCTGTTGAGAACTATGGCATTTTAGGAGAGAATCCAAACTATACAAATCAGAATATCATGATTTCTAGTGCAGAGCTTAAAGACAAACTAGAGGACTGAGAAGGGAAACACTACAGTGTGGAGGAATGGAATTCATGACTTGTATTCTGAAAAGCCAGAAAATCTCAAGATAAAAAAAATGACTGGATTATATTGCCTTTCGAAGTAAACTGCATTCCAAGGTGTGTAATTAATTTATAGCATGGAGTGTGAGGAACAGATTTCCCTAAGTTATGTTAAACTAAACTTGGAGTGTAGACTTCTTATGCACTTGACCTTTCTTATAAATGAAGCAGTAAGTACACATATACAGTATGTATCTTGCCTTGAAACTTGACATAGTTGTGAGTGAATTGTGGAAGCATTTCTTTGCCATGTTAATGGAAACTAGTTCATCCATGTAACTGCACTGCTTGACTTGACTGTGGGTTGTCTAAGAAGACAGAATGGTTTTTTGATTACTGCAGATGCTCTTTAAAAGCAATAGTCATTTTATTTTTAACAGAAAGAACGTTTGACTTGTACAGTTTACATGTTCTCATGTATTGGAAATAGCTTAGTTAAGTCTAGAGACTTTTCCTAAAGTACCCATTTGCTAGAATTACTAAGCTGTGTTTATATATATATTTGTAGATGTGTAAAGTTTCAGAAAGCAGTTTTTGTGTAGTTTGTGTCAGACTTTGTTAAAATATTTTTATACCATTTCCCCAGCAGTTCAATTTTAATTTTAAAGAGAGCTTTGGATACATTAGCTGCAATTCTTTCATGGCTATTAGAGCTTGAAGGGTGTAGTCCTGATTACACTTGCTAGGGAGCAAGACCAGTGGAACTCATTTCTGGGTAAACATAGTTTGCAACGTGCCATGAGTGTGTATTTTATCTTACTTGGTTTCTTGGTTATCTTACTGGGTTTCTTTCAAATTGGTTCTTGGTTGGCATTCTGTGACATGCTTAGTGATTTATCCAGGAGTGGTGTGTATTTCAGCTGCAAATGCTTTTTTTGTATCTGCATAGTTTTTTATGTGCGTGCGTTTTGCTGGGAGTTTGGATTTAATTTCAGACTCTTCCGTAGTTCAATAAGAGGTCCTATTGGGACTGTGTGTTGTATTTAACACTCCTCACAGTGTGTATTATTAATCTCTTCCCTACCAACACTTTAGGATGATTGTATGCCATTTCTAAGATGACTGTATATCATTTAAAGATATTTTGTGCTTTTAGAAGATAACCTTTAAAACAGCAAACAAGCAAGGTTGCAATCGCAGTGAGCTCCATTGAAATAGAAGGCCCTTCATTCAAAGTAAATTTGCAAAGATAGGGTCATTCTGCAAGAGCAAACAGTTTTAGGTCTAAATGTGCCTCTAATTTTAATTCAGAAAATAGTGTACTTGTCAGAAATTTGGAAAACACAAGTCCAGCTTGAAAGAGGCTGGTATGAATGACAGCTGTGTTTAATGTCACCTTGCACTGTTTGCATGGTGCAAGCAGCTGATCCTAGTAACTATGTAGAATATAAAGGAGCATTCTTTATTTGCTCTTTATCATAACTGCTCCTCTTTAATTGTTTTTCTAAGGGACCTCTGGACATCATGAACCACACTGTAGTATATGATACCTCAGAAACTATGGAGTTCTGTGCTTTTCATCGACTCTATGTTATGCCAGTAGTGAAAATGACAATCTGTATAGTGCTTCCAGAACCCACCGGACCTACCTACATAGTCCAAAGTGGGAAGTGATTGAAAAGCTGAAGAAAATGGTTTGTCCAGACCGGTTCGCCAGTGTTAAGGTTACCAAGAACACTAAGGGTTTCATTCTGTGTGGGAGAGGCAGACACCAATCGCGTGTTTTGTAGGCTGAAGGAGAAGCTTCATGGCAAGATGATAAACCTCAGTGGCTTCAAAGATGATTTGCAAGTGGTTGTCATGGAGCCACCTTCCAATCCGCCAGCTCCTCAGGAGTTGGAACCCACTAGAGAATTGCCAGAGGAAGACTTAGCAGAGCAAAGCAAGGATAGTCCTGGTTGCATCTATTTGGAAGGATTGCCATGCAAATGGTTTGCAGTGAAAGGCTCAGGTAGTGAATCACCAAGGAAAGATGTCTTGAGAGCAGTGTTTGAAAATTTTGGGAAGATCAAGAACATAGATATCCCTATGCTTGACCCTTATAGGGAAGAAGTGGGAGCACGCATGAATAATTTGACTTTGCGTTCCCTTTTGAACCTGCGGACATTTGAAGCTTTTGTCCAATACCAGGAGTCCTCATCTTGTTCAAAAGCTATGGAGACATTTAAGGGAATGAAGCTGGTGTTTAAAGGGGATGATGGAAAAGCTCTTGCATGTTACATCAAGGTAAGAAGTATTGCTTAGGAGTAGCTATTTTTAGTCTATTGCTGTAAAAACTACCAAGTCTTATGCCACCTGAAAGGCTGGCAGTTTTATTTTGGCATAGGCATTATGAACTATTTTCTACCATAGGTGGAAGTGCCTAGTGATGTGGAATCTAGTCCCATGAAAGGATATGCTGAATTAAATTTTTCATGCATCTGATGGTGGGAGTCATGTTCCACAATTAATCTGCCCTTTCAGGTGGCCAGAGTTTTTGTGTTGTGCCAGGGATGGGGAACCTGTGGCTCCAAGGCTGCTGGGCTACAGCATTTGTCATCCTTGACCAATAGCCATATTGGCTCAAAGTTGATGGAGCTGCAATTCAACAACCTCTGGAAACCACATGCTTTAGGAAACAGGAGTCCTTCCATTTGTGGAAGAGTCTTGCAGAAGCCAGCACTAATGGAAGAGGAGGTGAAGAGATTGTTTGCCTATCTCTCCTACAACCTCCTATACCCACTTTCCATGCTGTTGCAAGGGTCTCACAACTCATTGGAGCAGAACTGAAGAGCACAATTCCACACACACACACACACCCCGCTGCCATATGGTTTTGACAGGTTTGGTCTTCTTTATATGGGGCATCTGCTTCCATATACAGAAACTTTGAATGATTACTTGAGAGTAAATCACAACTTCCTAAAAAATATGCATTTTTCTGGGGCTACCTAACTGGAATATCTTTCAGCATTATTTCCATGTTTGGTCTTTAATGGGTATACAATTGCAGCTTTGAAAATAATTTTCACTTTGTTCACCTCTTAGATTACTTGGATTTGATTTTATTAAATGTATGTAGCCTAGTTACACGGACACCTTTTAGTTCTTTTCATTTTCAGCACTGTGGTTTTTAATATGGGAGAGGTTTGAAAGATGCCCAATTCCCATTTTAAAATTGAGGGCAAATAACAGCTGGTTTTCAGAGCCTTAGGGATATCCATGGGTACCTTCACATGACACCTGTATTCTGTTTACACCCTATCCCAACTGAATCTTTAAACTGCCTTTATAATTCCAACCTCCAGCTCCAAAAATAGAAGCTTGCAGTGTGGCATAGGGGACCAGGTGGGAAGTGTTTGTGTCATGCTGGTTTACAGTCACAAGCAGTTATTTCTCAGTAGCACAACTTCCTTACTTGAGCATGAGTCTCCCTGCCACCCGTATGTCATCTGTGTTGGACTGCATAGCAAAGGCCCTTCTTTCTGGTATGGAGATAGTTGAGCCCAAAGTGGTTTAGGGAATGTCCCGATGTTGTTAAGGCTCCCTGTGTTCTATTTGAGATCTTGAAATTGGGCTCTGGAGACCTTGTAGATGTGATGCTTGAGTGAGCGATACTACAATTTGTACTTCTTTGATTTTTAAACAGGTGACGTCTGATACTACTGATCATTTCAGTGATACTGCTGTAAATCAGAGAAACCTGGAAAAAATAACTCTGCAAGAAACTAGAGAGAGGGCGAAAGAGGAACGAAGACAGAGGGGGAAAAGGACTGAAAGGTGAGGAATCTCTGTGGCTTTTTCTTTTTTCTCTTAAAGACAAGATTGAGCATGCCCTGTTAGTGGGGAAACTGAGATAAGAGGATTGTTTTTTGTGGCTGTGAGGGCTCCATACCTTTTCTTTGCATAATGGCAGCTGACATTGTGTACCAAAATCAGCTGGACCTTGTGACTTACCTAAGTTTATGCAAGGAGAGAAAATCTGCGTACTTTCCCTTTTTTAGCCATTTTATTAGTTAAGAATAATTCAGATTTTGTTTAGTTATTGGGATATCTATGTGAGATAATGGAAAACTTGCCCCCAAGTACTTGAAATCTTTTCCAGACACCTTTCTGCCTCCGAGATTTCAGCAGGCATTTATACATAATATGCTCGTTGCCATGAGGGCTAGAAACATTTCTTTTAAAACAAATAATAATAATAATAATAATAATAATAATAATTAATAATAATAATAATTTATTATTTATACCCCGCCCATCTGGCTGAGTTTCCCCAGCCACTCTGGGCGGCTCCCAATCAGTGTTAAAAACAGTACAGCGTTACATATTAAAAACTTCCCTGAACAGGGCTGCCTTAAGATGTCTTCTGAATGTCAGGTAATTATTTATCTCTTTGACATCTGATGGGGAGGGCGTTCCACAGGGCGGGCGCCACTACCGAGAAGGCCCTCTGTCTGGTTCCCTGTAGCCTCACTTCTCGCAATGAGGGAACCGCCAGAAGGCCCTCAGCGCTGGATCTCAGTGTCCGGGCCTGAACGATGGGGGGTGGAGACGCTCCTTCAGGTATACAGGACTGAGGCCGTTTAGGGCTTTAAAGGTCAGCACCAACACTTTGAATCGTGCTCGGGAAACGTACTGGGAGCCAATGCAGATCTCTCAGAACCGGTGTTATGTGGTCCGGCGGCCACTCCCAGTCACCAGTCTAGCTGCTGCATTCTGGATTAATTGCAGTTTCCGGGTCACCTTCAAAGGTAGCCACACGTAGAGCGCATTGCAGTAGTCCAAGCGTGAGATAACTAGAGCATGCACCACTCTGGCGAGACAGTTCGCGGGCAGGTAGGGTCTTAGCCTAAAACAAACAAATGAAAGTTGAGTCTTGGGAAATTAATTTGTTTACCCGTTACTAAAATGTGTGCTCCTGTAGCATTCACATAACCATGATTATTTTACTGTCTTCCCTAAAGTACATTTCAGTGTAACTGATAAAGCTGAAGGACTTTTAAACAGAAGGCTGCAAACATCAAAACACTGTTTCTCACTTCATGTTTTATCTGCAGCTGTTAATAGTGCTAGGTGCCATCCCAATCTCCAATCAGCGTGAGATTCCAGGGGCTCCGGGCACTTAACCCAGGGTTTGTGTTTTCTTTTGGAAATGAGGCACAGTGGGGACTGTATGTCTGTAGGATATATGGTTTATTTACACATATATGCAGCCTGAACCTACGATGGAGGGGTTCACAGCATTAACACCCCAAGAGGGTCTTGCTTTCTACCATAGCCATAGCCTTAGATTTAGTAGACATCAAACATTGTGCTCTGCCTCTCTAGCTTTCCAGTCTGCAGCTAGATCATATCACTCCTAAACTCTGCCTTCCACAGGAAACCCCCCTTCCTTTGCTCTCCTTACTAGGAGGCTAGCTTGGTTTGAGTAGTTTTGAACACTTGCTAGTACCTGGGTTTTGAAGACTCTGGCATCCACAAACTCAAAACAGTATCTGTAGCTGTAAACTTGATAGTAAAGACATCTAGATTACTGGAGAAAACTAGCAAGATATAAACAGTCCAACTTTTGGCCATGGGATTACTATCTGGTTACTAATTTCATGTCCTGCTATTCAAAACATGCTTCTATCAGATAGTAGTAGTAGTAGTAATAATAATAATAATAATTAATAATTAATAATTAATAATTAATAATTAATAATAGATCCATACCCCACCTATCTGCCTGGGTTTCCTCAGCCACTCTGGGCGGCTCCCAACAGAATATTAAAAACACACCAAAAAAATCAAACATTAAAAACTTCCCTATACAAGGCTGCCTTCAGCTGTCAGATAGTTGTTTATTTCCTTGACATCTGATGGGAGGGCGTTCCACAGGGCGGGAGCCACTACCAGGAAGGCCCTCTGCCTGATTCCCTGTAGCTTTGCTTCTCGCAGTGAGGGAACCGCCAGAAGGCCCTCAAAACTGGACCTCAGTGTCCTGGCTGAACGATGCGGGTGGAGATGCTCCTTCAGGTAGCTGTTATTGGGCGACTGAAAATCCAGCAGACTCCAAATTCTGCCATTTTACTGTTCAAAGACTTCCTGATTCTGCCAAGGGGAACAAAAAGGATATTTTTGCCATTTTAGCTGTTGGTTATATAGCTGCATGAATTTTTCCATAGATGCTTAGTTCTTTTCTATTAGTTCAGAGTTGCCTCCTCATGGTAATTAACAAATAGAAACTTTCCTTCAGTGAAAGGGCAATATGTCCTTTGCTTTACGTTAATAGATAACAGTGGCGGTTCTGTATGAGGATGAACCTTAGGCGCATAGTTGTATAAGACCTTTTTTTGCAATTTGGTTTGTTTTATCAATTGCTGAAATTCTGTATAACAGCATTATGCCTACACTGAAGTTAGATCAATTTTTGTGAGAGAATATAATGTAATTTGGTTTTTAGCTTTTGCTGCTGAGTTCAAAGATAAATGTGTGTCACCACTTGTTTTCTCAACCTTCCTTGGCTCTCCAGAGGGCTTCTTCAATGCCAGATTGCATCTGAGCACGATATGTTCTTATTCTGCCAGGGAGCCTTGGGCTCCACCTTCTTTGTTGCATTCAGAACAAAAGTTGTTATGCCAAAAGACTGAAATAGTAACACTAGATTTACGAAACTCTCAGCAAATATCAGCTTTTGCAAGACTTTATTTCACCCCTCCCCTTTTTAAAGGACTATTTAGCAATTAGGATATAAAATGCAGACCCTCAGGCCCAGGGATTTCCGGTTACAGGGTAATTGCAACGTTATGCTCATTAAACTTGTGTGCGTTTGCTTTATGAGGTAGGCAAAAAAAAATTAACAAAGGCAGGGCAGAAAATGGTGGGTGTCTGGGGAAAAAAAGACTTGGGCAAAGCCCAGTTGCAATGTGTTTTGACTACACACAATTTTGGCTTTAGGTGCTACCCCCTGGTACCTAGCCCCTCCATACATTGAGAGCCACCGCTATGTACAGAAGTCCGAGTTGGCTGCGTGCCGAAATTGTTTCCTAGAAAATCAACAAGGATTTTTACAAAATATTTTTTCTCCATCAGGAATCGTTCAGGTCTATAGAACCCTTACAAAATCCTTTCTGCAATGCTTCTTAGGCCTTTATGAGAACTCTGGCACACTTTCTCCGAATTAAATTTGGAGAGACGTGCTTCATTCATGCTCCTGGAAAGGTCTACTTTTATACTATGTTCGTTACAATTCACCTGCCTTTTAGAAGGGCCCTCCTAGCTAGAAGACGGCAAGGTCAGAGCAGTGATTCATGCACAGACACAACAGACCTCTCAGACCAGGACCGTTCTATGTTTACTCCATGAGGAGTGGTAGAATGATCCATTTACACCCAGTGACAGGTTAGGAGGAGGAAGATCAGAGTAGTGACTCACACAGATACCAGAAGGCATCCTCTTCTGTGGCTGGGTACTTTTGAACTCACAGGAGCATCTATATATGCTCACGTGACATACTAGCGTTTTCACACAGCGCAGAGTTTGGGAATTAGCTGCTCTGTTCAGTCTGCCAGTAGGGTTCAGCAACTTACAAGGCCAGAACTGCTTAGAACTGCATTCTGTGCCTTGAGACCATTTTTTTCTGGCCTGTGGAGGCATAGAAATGTTGACTGGAGTTAGGAACAATGATTAAATTGAAAGCAAAGTGGTCTGTAGCTCTGACTGTAAAAAAGAAGAGCCAAGGTCAGCAAATGCACAGGCCTCCAGACGAGTGTCTTATTTCTTTTCTTGAGCCAGGGAAGGTGAAAGTGTTTGTATATAATCTGTAGCTTTCTGTAGTGCATCTGAGCACTCCCTGTAGTTAGTAATAATGATGCCTGTTCAGGAGTGATGGGGAATAATCCTAGCGTTTGGCATCATTATAATGAAGCCAGTGAAGGGCGGAAGAAAGTTGTTAGGTTTATCAGTATTGCAGGTATGAACACACTAACGGAGGAACATTAACGACATGTAGAAAACTATTCTGTAAGAATTGGGAGAAAAGTTTAAGATGGGTTTCTTTAGCTTTTTTAAAAAAGCAAATATAAGTGAACATGCTATACAGTGGTACCTCGGGTTACAGATGCTTCAGGTTAGACGCTCAGGTTACAGACTCCGCTAACCCAGAAATAGTACCTCAGGTTAAGAACTTTACTTCAGGTTGAGAATAGAAATCGTGTGGCGGTGGTAGCGGGAGTCCCCATTAGCTAAAGTGGTACCTCCGGTTAAGAAACAGTTTCGGGTTAACAACGGACCTACAGAACGAATTAAGTTCTTAACCCGAGGTACCACTGTACTAGATTTTTATTTACTAATCATTTTCGTAAAATTTATAGACCGCTGATTGTAAACAACAACAACAACAACAACAACTTCAAAGAGGTTTACCAAAAAGATATAACAAGAAAATAAATAAAAACCACAAGCATGCTTTAAAACATAAAGTTAAAACACACATCACCTCAACTTTCTAAGCATCTGGGTAGGCTTGCCTAAACAAGATGGTTCTTAGTGTGGTATGCTGTGGCATGATTGCTGACTGCATTTTCCAGCTCACATGTGAGGGAAGCTCCATGTAGAGTGCATTGCAGTAGTCCAGTACACTGGTACCTCTGGATCTGTTCCGGAGCCCCATTCGCATCCAGAAGCGAATGCAACCTGCATCCGCGCATGCGTGGGTCACGATTCGCCACTTCTGCGCATGTTCGTGATGTCATTTTGACCGTCTGCGCATGCGCGAGCACGAAACCTGGAAGTAG